AAAAAAAGAGAAAAAAAGAAAAGGTACGCAAACGTAAAGAGTAGAGTGCTTCTTGCATCGCTAGGGGATGAATAACCAAACTCTACGCCCGCTCTACGGCCGCTGCCAGCCGCCCGCCGCGCCACACGGCCAGCGCCTGCCAATAAGCCGTCCGGCTTTATGGACACTACGTGCATTCACAGACACCTGGGGCGAGGCGAGGGGGCGGCTGCAGCGGCGGCAGGCCAGGCGTGCCGCACACGCGCCCAGAGATGAAGCGTCGATTCGTCGTCACTTTTTAACGCCCCCGCTAAAATGTCGATAGGGTTACTCGAATCGGAGAAAATTCGCCGATCCAGAGAGCAAATCGGCACCAAGCCGAGGACGGAAAAGTAAGCCAGACCGCGCCGTTTCGAATCGACGTTTCATTTGATGGGCCGGACCGGGCACGCGAGGCGGGGGGAGGGCGACACTCCACTCGGTATACTCACAATACTGACGTTTTGCTGTTCGATGCCGTTGACGGGCGCGCCGCTGACGGCCACGGCCGCGCTCACGGGGGGCGAGTAGGCGGGCACGGGTGGACCGAGGGGTTGACCCATGGCCTGGCCGGACTCCGCCTTCATCTGACCGGGTATGGAGCCGCCGGGGCCGCCTCCTCCGCCGGACTCGGCCTTGATGGGCAGGGCCTCACCGTTCTGCGGAAACTGTGGCGTCGGGTAGGGACTGGCCATGCCGGTCTGGACCATGTGCTGCAACAGGAGAGAAGAGAGAAATGGTCAGACGAGATCATCGTGTATGTGCAGTGCTCGCCGGGGCGCCGACGGAGAGTGGCGCGGCTATCGCCGCAGCGCGCGCAGTCTGAAAGCGCGGGGGATAAAAACCACCCCCAACCCCAACCCCCTCCACTGCAGCGAACTTCTCCCACCCCCGCATTCGTCGTACTTTTCTGTTATTTCCGCGGGTTAAGAGATTGGAATGGCGGCTGGACCCGGGAGGATCAGCCCACACCACCCCCTCCTCATCCCAGAGTTTGTTACTTTGTCAAACCGCTGCTGCTGCCGCATCCCTTCCCACCACCACCGCCGCCGCACCGCGTGGATCGCGGCAGCAGGGCGGGCAGCGCAGGGCGGTGGGGCCCTTTGCACCCTTTCCGAGGCAGCGCACGTGCGGAGAGGTTTCCGCACCGCTGTCCAAGTGCTGCGAGGGACATTTCATCTCGCTCCCCTCCACCACCTCATCCCCAACTCCCGCCCACCCTCATATATACCATACCTCGCAGGTCGGGCCGGGCCCGGGCCGGGGCCAGCAGCGCAGCTCCGGACCCAGACTGCACTATACGGTCAGACTAGACCCTCGCCTTGAGGAGACCACACCGGACTAGACCAGACCACAGACCGGTTGTGCCTAGAGAGACTAGGATCGACCACACCGGCCGAGGCCCCCGGCAGAGGAGAGCTCGAGACGACCTCGGGCCAGATCGGAACTCGGCAGCTATGCGCGCCGCCCGCGCCGCCGCCCCGGGGCTCTCCGGGGCTCTGGCGGGCACAGCCTCTAATCCGGCGGAGCTCCGAGGGGAAGACGAGGTGGCGGACGGTGGGTGGGCGAGGGGTAGGCGGGGCGTGGGCGAGGGGTGGGCAGGGGGTGGGCAGGGAGTGGGCGCTGCCAGCGCACCATTACGCATTACGGGCCCGTGCGGTGTGAGTGTGCGTCCTACGAGAGCGAGAGAGACAGACTGAGCGCGCACGCGTGCCCTCGGGGGAGAGGAAGGCGCCCGGGCTGCGGTACTACGGGAGTACCCCCCC